AAATATAATTTCCCTTTAAATACAAATTTCATTGAAATGTAACAATACATATCTGATTTTGATTGGAGACATTTCCACAACATTTAAGCATTAATTGTTATAGTCCAAAATTGACCCTTCCTTTTCATTTTTGACTTTAATTGAAAGAATATCTTCATGACACAGTATTGTCCAAAAGGGAAAATACGGAAGGAAATATTTAGTATTGACCCCAAAAATTGTAATTATTATTTTAATTATTTCATTTGAAACTCAAAAAATAACATTTTATACAGCAGATACAACAGAATGTAATAAATTGCATGACACTACACACAATATCTATTTAGTAGACTACATTATTGTAATTTTTTTCAAATTTCTACCAGTTAGTCTCATACTGTAACAATTTCATGAACAGATGATACAAAGAACCATCGAAAATTGTAAAAGTAAAATTTTATTTCAAAATTTCAACTCAGAAAAATTAATGCATATTTTTAATGAACCTCACATTAGATTCACATTAAAGAACTTCTGAACTAAGGTTCCAGCAATTGCTTAAATTCACTATTCATCTCACATTAAATTCATGTTCAAGAACTTCTGAACTACGGTTCCAGCAATCGCTTAAATTTACTATATACATAGTAATTACAAGGTAGAATAAACATTATACATAATGTTCTTAGCCCTACTGCAGTTTCAAAAATATCCCTAACATTATAAAAATTTCTGAATAATTAGAGTTTCTTATGTTCAGTTTCAGAATTATTTATAACAAAATGATATTGAAACTTACTAAATTTTGCATTTGTAATTACCACATGCATCAGAAGAAACTGATTGTTGTCTGGATCTGCTTCAGTGTCTGTCACTGTAGCTTCTTTGTACAACCAACTACAGGAAATAATAATAATAATAATAATAATAATAATAATAATAATAATAATGATAATAATAATAATGACAACAATATAAATTAAAATAAAACCACTTACACTACATTTAAGTAGAAAATTTAGAGCACATAAAAAAGAAAACAAAACAATGTTTTACCTTGCTTCCGTTCCACCCATTGGTACACGAATTATTAGAAACTTTCTATCAGTCGCCTCAAGAATGACTTCTTGAATTCTTCTCTTCAATACAGTAAGACCTACAAAGAAAATTAAAAAGATACAAATTTTTTTAAAAAATATTACAAAAATATTACACCAAGTGATTATTCTATTCAATTCAATTACGATAATTCAATTAAATTAAAGATTCAAAATAACATTAATAAAAACATTACTCACCTAATTCCTTAACAGCTGAAACAGGAATTCCTTCATCATTTTCAAATGGAATATCATTGGGTACAAGGTCAATTTTGTTTCCAACGACTATAATATTTTTTAATGTGTCAGATGTGATTTGCAAGTTTTGTAAGGTACTTTTGACATTTTCAGCCTGAGCCATTCGATCAGGATGACTTACATCCATAACATGTAATATCACGTCCTGAAATCATAGAACAATATCTAAACAATAATTTTACTTCAATTTTCATAACTAGTCAAACGTTATTGATAAATCAATACTTATTCTTCATTGATCATATCAATGAACGTAGATTAATTCGATTCATCCACGTAAACAGATAAGATGTAAAATGAAATGAAAAACAATCAGGACATTTTGAACGCTAGTTACAAAACTAAAGCAATGTGGAATATTGTAAAAATACATCATCTCGTTACTTGGTAGAGAAAGTTGTTTTAAAGGATAATGAAAGAGAAGCCTGTAATCCGAAAAAGTTGGCAAATCTCTTCAACCAACACTTTTCTAGAATTGCGGCTGAACTCACAAAGGGACTAAAACGACAAAATTCAACATCATTACCTTCCCAAAAAATTTTCGACACGATGTTTATTTCTGAAACTTTTTCTAACGAAATCCTGAGAATAGTCAGTAAACTAAAAAATAAATATTTATCTGGTTTAGATGAATTTCCGGATTGTTTATTGAAAACATGCGTACCTGCCTTTATACACCCATTAACTCACATTTTCGATGCATCTTTATGAACAAGAATATTTCCAGGTATTTTCAAAACAGCAAACATTAAGCCACTTTTTTTTAAAAAAAGGAGCAAAAATGAAATCCAAAATAACCGACCAATTTATCTTTTGTTTTCTCAAAAATATTAGAGAGGCTTTTCTATACGCGAATGGATTCTCAGAAGAAACGATGCGTTTTCAGATTCACAACACGGGTTTAGAAAATCAAAATCTACGGAAACTGTCATTTTTTCTTTTCTTAAAGATGTAGCTTCATCAATGGACCAAAATGAAGCAGCCATTGGAATATTTTTAGATCTTTCGAAAGCTTTTGACGTTATTACGTCTTGCTATCAAAATTACCTAACTGAAATTCGTGGTATCACCCTAGATTGGGTAACCTCGTACCTTAAACATCGATCTCAAAGAGTAGAAATACAGTACTGGCACGAAAGGACATTATTTGCTTATCTTTCCGATTCTTTACCAATTGGATATGGGATTCCGCAAGGCTCGATCTTAGGTCCTATCTTCTTTCTGTTATACGTACACGATATGCCGTCGTCTATTAAAAACGGAAGAACGGTTCATCCGCAGATGACACGAATGTTCTTAGCAAAAAATAATTATTCGATTTTGGAGGTTTCAAATTAGTTTTGTAATAACAAATTAATAGTTAACGGAAGAAAAAGTTTCAATGCATTTTTGCATTTCAAATCAGAAATCGCATGCTCCTTTGACAATGACAATATGCAATTAGTTGATGTTCAGGGAACAAAATTTCTAGGTCTCTCTATTCCGTCAGACCTCAAATGGAATGTACACATAACAAAATAAAACACTAACTTCAGTTCATTGTGTTATGCATCAGAATTCTTTTAAATTCTGTCAGCTTCATGCAGATCGTTTCGTGTATTTTGGAAATGTACATTCCCGCCTAAGATATGGCATAATATTCTGGGGAAACTCATCGTGTAGTACTCCCCTTATATTGCAAAAGAAAATCATTCGAATAATGAAAAAATGCCATTCGCGCGATCCCTGCAAGCCTCTCTTCATTGAGCTTGGAATCTTACCACTGCCGTGCCTATTTATTTACTAATCTCTAATATTTGTCAAAAGTGGCTTACTTAACGGTGGGAACATATTTTCATGCAATATTGATATTTATAATTACAACACACGTCGTAAAATTCACATTCATAAAGTGTCAGTATTAACAGCTCACTATTAGAAATCCACTTACAATACATGTACATTACTTAACAACGCATTGCCAGATGACATTAAACAATTGAAGTCGATTCACAAATCTAAAGTTAAAAGTAAAATATTTTCTGCTGCATAACTGTTTCTATTCAATAAGAGACTATTGCCGACTATTAGAGACTAGACCGAGCATCAAAAAGTAAAGTAATATTAATATTAACAATAAGATTTAATGTAGTATTTACCACTTGGACTGTATAATGTTAAACAACCTTTAACAAATATTGTACCTCAGCTCTGTGTCAAAGATCCCCATCTCGATAATTTTTTGGTTCAGTTTCCCTGATCCTTTGAGCAAATGCTGAGAAGGCCCCTTGTATTTGCTTCTGGACATAAATGTAACTTTACTATGTGTGCACATCTTCTAGAGTTCAGTGAGCAATATTGTTATATAAATTATCGTTCTCCATGATGTATTATTCCTTCGCGAAGGACATGAGGGATAAGAGCCCAAATACAGCCGATTTACCCTTCAAAATAGATTTCCCTACATTGGAGCGAACATTTTGTTAACAATTCTAGACAAACACTCCCATTTCTTCAGAATTCAACTAATGGCTTTGCGTAGGGATCACATAACTATGAATGCGTACACATAATTCACTTGTCTCCGTAGCACAACAGTCACGGTTTTAACTGCTTTTGACGTAGAATAAATAAATAAATCGCTTTTCGTGCTCTTGTATGGATATCTGCTAAAATCAAATTAATATCATACTCATCACACTGTTGCTGAATGAAATTAGCGTCACTACATTTCAGCCTCACTGGAAAGATATCTCGTGTTTTACATCTCCTGTTGTTTGGGCCTCAGTCTAATTGACAGAATTACATTTCCGAAAAACAGGATTAGGTGGCTTACGGTTCACCTTTATCTCTCTTTGCACGATATAACTAGTTCATACATTGAACATATCTGATTTTGTCTTTCCAGCACA